TCCAACATATGAAACAACATACCACTTAGTCAAACTTGTGATTTCTAATCCAGTAGTTTAAGGAAGTGTGTATATATATATATATATATATATGTTTGAACTCTGTAGGGCTTCAAAGACTAGACTGTGAAAGGGAAAAAATGAGGAAATCACATGTATCATTCTCATTTTGCAGTAAATGGAAGATATCTTACCTTATTACTACTGAAGACAGAGCAAACACAAAAATCTTCACAGATACCTTGAGACAACATGCATAAAGCAGCTGCCACACCACAAACACAGATCCTTCCTTATTTTACGTTAGCCTATCCAAGTAGCCATGGCATCTGGCAACCAAAAAGCCACTATAAAGAAAACCAGCTCCTTGAGAAACAGTCATCCAGCTCCTGAGGTAAAAAAAACTTGCTGAAAAAGCAGAATTGTAAATAAAACACAAGGAAGTGCCTGCTGCTGACTGCCTCTACATTAATCTGAAAAAATTATTTGTCCATACATATTTTTTCTGAATAAACAGCATTGTATTAGAGAACCAAACCAAATAACATGAGACATTTCTCTCTTGGAAGAAATTAACCTGCCCAAACCAATGGAACAATTGTACTTACACCATGTGGCCCTGAAAGAGCTGAATGTGCCTTGAGAGGGAATGTACCTGGTCTCCCAATAGAAAACAAGGACACTCAGATCTTGGCTGATTAGATCGTTATTTATCTTCTATATATTCATAGTAAGCACATATTTTTAATCATCAGTGAGACACGTAAAGCACATTTTAAATCCCACTGATTCCAAGTAAATTTAAGGGTGCACTTAAACATAAGTTTAAGATGTTCTGGTAACAAATTTAGATTCAAGAAATCAAACATTGCCTATGTGAAATACAACAGTTTTTATCTCCTTTTCAGCAGACCACAATATACTGCTTCACAGTTAGCTAGTCCTGACCATTCTTAAGAATTAACAGTGTGGTACATAGAAAATAAATTTAGAATTAAGTGGTCTATAGCTGCACGGTCTGCAGAGCTTATATTACCAACCAGCACAAACCATAACTGGATGAATAACAAGATTTATACTTGGTCAAATGAAAAATAGAAATGTGATACACAAAACTGGTCAGAATCTAGTATTTCTTAAAATTAATCCCAGTAAGACTCCTGAGACATGTTTGTTATTCTTAAGTATTATCCATACCGTTTATATTATCAAATTTCAGCATACAGATTGAAATACTAATTCTGTGCTGAAGTAATCCATTTGCAAATTGTGCTATTGCAACTATTCAGGTAAGTCATACAGTATTTTTTTCATTTCTTGACAGAATAACTTGAATGTTGCAAACAAGATCAGTAATTCACTTTCAAGATTAAGTTTCAGATGACTGAAACTGTTAATACTACAAAAAAGCTACTTTCAAAAATCATTGCCAACTTCATGAATTTCTGAATATTAACTGCACACAAATTCTGACCAGCAAATAATGACAAATCACCTTGTGTTTCTATTTTAAATACTTAGTTTTATATTTTTGAATACATTACAGCCAAAGGCAACAAAACTTCTTTTTGGAGATTTTATTCTGCTTCTTCATTTGTGCCTTTTCAAAGGGAAGCTTTTTGCACAGCAAACTACAAGCATGTATTGAGCACAGTAACCGCTATAATTTTGATTTCAACGAGGTCAACATCACTAAGAAGCCAGTTTTGCCTTAAAGGCAAAAGCCTCTCTAAGAACCCAAACTGGATCTTTTAAATGTAATTGAACTGTAACAATTCATTTCCACAGGCTTATGAAAAAAATGCCTTCTAAATTTGCAACCAATTTTATAGTATTTGGCCACTGACAATAGATGCAGACAGGGAAGCTGGACCATCACTTTTTGAATTTCATACACTGCTAACTCAGACAAAAGTTTTTAAGCGAAGAGAGACAGGCAACACGGAGCCCCTGTTAAGAACAAGCACAGCATAGTCAAAACACATGAGAAAGTGAAAAGCCCAGAATGTGAGAAACTGAGACTTCACTCCTGGGATCACCGGCCAGCTGTGCACAGGAAGTGTCTCCCTGTTGGTGCCTCCTTGGTCAGCACAGCACAGCTGGCTCTGGGCTGCCCTTCAGCATCACCCCAGGGCAGCTCAGAGGGATGGATGGAGAGCTTGCCTGTATTAGGAAATTACATTATTTCACCAGTGAGATGTTGCTGCAGTTTACTCTTGTGCATGTGGGTAGTTAGCTGCTGGCAGCGCTGTTTCCAGTTAGAATGGCTGTAAAAGTCATCAGCTGAAAAAGTGTTATTTCTCAGCATAGTTGAGGGACCCTTTTCTTCATTTCCTTTGTATTGTATAGTCATACCTATCTCTGCAAGTGTAACAGCCACTGAGTATAACATAGTATCAAATCAAAACTTATCTTCAAAACTTACAATTTGATAGTAGGTAAGGCCTTGTATTTAATGTCCTTGGCTAAATAGCTACAGGTTGGGTGAGGTAGGAGAAAATGAGGCTTTAATGTTTGCTAGGCATCATTAACATCCGTTCCTGTTCACAGCTACATTTTGGAAAATGCTACATGGAGTGGTTTTTACTATATATTCACAAGATCATTTTGGCAGACAGAAAGTTATTTCACAGGGTAGGAAAGGAAAAAAATGTATTACTGATTTCCCCCCTGCTTTTCTACTGCTGCTTCATTAAAGCTTTCCTAAATTTCCTCTTCCTATCATGCTGTACTGCTAGCTCTATGAATAATTTAATTGGGATACTCTATCAGCACACTGCAGTTGATGAAGCCTTGATTCTCACAACATTTTTGCTTCCATCCCGATTTTTTTGTAACCTAACCTGAAAGCATGATGACCAAGCATTTCCATTTTCACTTTCTCCTCTGCAGTTCCCGAGACAGAAATAAAATGGAGAGGGGGCAGAATGGGAGGGGGTGGGATGCCTTCTGCTAAAGGCAGAAAACACATCACACAGCCATCATCAAAACTTCATGCATGACAATCTGGTAAGTGAATCCTCAGGGAATTTTAACTATACACATCCCTTTACAGGTACACAGCAAAATTCTCCATGACAAGAGGATGAGGCAGTGAAAGCCACCTTAAAAAGACTCCAGAATGAATGGATGTCAGGGGAAGGAGGAAGGGAGAAAGAAAAGAGGCGGTCTCTCACTGTGAATAATCCTTGGTAGGTTTATAACTAATAATTACCAGGGGGTGGTTTTTTTGTTCATTTGGTTTTGGTTTTTTTTTTTTCCAGATAGCAATATTAGCCTCTATAACAGTAAGAAATCAGGAAAATTGCACCATCTTTTCTCAACATCAATGTGTTCTTAACTCAGCAAAAAGCAGCAAGCTTTTATTATCAGTCTTTCTTGCAGTCTTTTATTTTCTACTGCTTTCACATATTTAGATATTACTTCTGTCATCTACATTCTAACTTCAAAAAAGTCTTAGAGCTATATTACTTACATATCTCCAGTGAATATAGTTCACATATGACCAATATGATAAGGAACATAATTTACAATAACAAGCAACACAAAGTAGTTTAAAACGCTCCTTACTTTCACTGCCTCTGAGGCATTTAAAGCTAATACATAAAATTTCAGTGATTTTCCCCTTTTAAATAAAGTTTCACAAAAAATCTAAAATCCACACACCCAGATAAACAGCAATCCATTTATCGTATTATATTAAAAGCAATGTTATCTCTTTTGATTGAAGTAGGTGGCTGAAGTTTGTACTCTATGAAGTTGTTTCTGTTAGGAAAAGTATTCCAGAATCTGTTGGGGCTCTTTGTGCATTTTTTGCCTTTCTCTGCAGCTGACCTGATGTGTTTACTGTCACTGAAAAAGCATTCCCACCCCACTCTTTCCAAATTCAAACTTTACCCATCTTTTCCCCTTACTCTCTGGTCTTTTCTGTTCCCCATCCTTTGTATTGGCTCTGCCGCTTGTCAAATGTTTTCCACAGGCTGAATTGGCTCATTAAATTAGCAGTGTTATTCAGCCATTTCAGTCATCAATTTTTCCATATTTCTGTGATTTAAGTCAGTTACCCAACAGTAATGAAAACCAGAGATAACAGGTGAAGGCAGTTTACAGCAGGCCATAAGGAGGCCTTGCAGGGTCATGCAGAAAGGTTTTTTTCTTGGCAGCTTTTCAGCAGCATTCCTCTATTCAGTGGTCCCTGTTTATTGGATAATGTATCAACATCAAAACTTGGTGAGTCTTCTGCACCTACATTCTGTCCATGACAAAATACTTCTGATCAATAACTCTGCATCTCTTGTGACAAATACCTCCAATTCAGCATATGTCTACCATCATTTCACTTATTTTATACCTGAAGTACCTGAAAGGAATACACTTTCATGAATGGTAACATACACGTTACAGCAGCTGATCCCTACTAAAACAACAAACACGTGGAAGAAATGTCTGTATTTTGGGTTGCAAAGCAACAGAGAGCCATTGAGAGAAAGACATAGCTAAGAAAAAGAGATTATTTTTTTCCTCTATTTCAAAATACTACTTAAAATCAGTGTTTTCCAGGGGAAAAAAAAATCAACACAGCAGCAAGAAAAATAAAAGTACAAACTGCTGGCACACCTACATCGTTAATACAGCCAATAACTTTCCATATACCCAGAGTCTCTGGGAACGTGCATCCTTTGTTTAAAAGGGGAGACACACGGAAACACCCCCTGCATTAGGTTTTCCCTTAAGGGACAAAACTCACCCATTGAACTTTTACAGAATTTACCACCATTCTTGTGTTACCCTAGGAAACACATAAAGAAAGTTGGCACACTTGCTTGCTTCTTCTGGAACTTCTATCCAAAGCCGAGCTGTTAAAATGATGGCGATGTGACCCATCTTTTCCGAATTCTCAAGCGATACTCGTGAGGGAAGACCAAGTAACGAGGCCTCTTGGAGAGGATGACCACCCTGTCCTCCCCAACAGGCACACCTTGCCCCTGAGCCGCACTTACTTCTCTTGGATGCGAGGTGCTTCCTGCAGGGCCGGGGCTGCCCGGGGAGCCAGCGGCACGGCCTGCCCATGGCAGCACCTCGCACGCGGGAGCAGCGCTGAAGGCAGCCGGGCCGAGAGCCGCTCGCTGCTGCGCCGGGCGGCTGCGGGACGCGGCCGAGGGGAGCGGCTGAGGGGAGCGCCGCTGCCCCCGCCCCGGCCCCGCCCCCCCAACATCCGGGTCCCCGCCGGCGCCGCGGCGCCGCCGCCCGCTCCGCGTCCCGGGGAGGCGGCGGGGCAGGGGAGGGAGGAGGAGGAGGCAGCAGCGAAGATGGCGGCGGCGGTGGGGAGAGCTGGCTCCTTCGGCTCCTCTTCTTCTTCCGGGCTCGGCTCGGCTGCCAGCTTTTCCTCTGCTTCCTCCGCCGCTTCTACGGGCACGGCCAACAACAACAACGCGGAGCTGCGGGCGGGCGATGAGGACGATGGGCAGAACCTCTGGTGAGTGCCCGCCCCGCCCCGCGGACCCAGGCGAGCTGGCCGCCGCCCTCGGGGCGCCTCGGTGCCCTGCGGGGGACGAGGGGAAGGGGGCTGGATAATCCCCCCGCCCTCGCTGGCGCTCAGTGTCTCTCAGTCACTGAGCTTGGAGCGGGGGAGGGGGGGGCACCTCCCCTTGGCAGTGGCAGCTCCTGCCCTGCCCCCCGCCCCTCATGCCGTAGCCCCCCCCATCCCCAGGAGATGGCGAGGGTGGGGACCGGGAGGAAGCGGGGGACCCTTCCTAAGCGTTGTCGTCTTTCCGTGCCAGGTCCTGCATCCTCAGCGAGGTGTCCACGCGCTCCCGCTCTAAGCTGCCTTCGGGGAAGAACGTCCTCCTGCTGGGTGAGGAAAGCATCCTGATCCCTCTGCCTTCCCCTCCGCACACTGACTGAGGAAAGCATCCCGATCCTGCTCCCATCCCCGCCGCACACAGGCTGGCTCCTGAGGCCTCTCTTGAGTGTCTGGAGCTTCCCTTGTTCAGCGCCCTAAGGGGAGGGGGAGTGGTGGGTGGCAAGGCGCTGTCTTAACCCTCTGCTTCCTCCCTTGCGTGGCTTTGATTCATTTCGGAAATTGTCCACAGATGCTTTAGATACGCCCCTCATCGTAGGTACCTCGCCACAATACCCTCACTGTCCTTCTCCCGCCCTGGCTCCATAGGCGGGGATGGCTTGCAAGGGGAGCTGTTATTGTCTCTCCCCCGTGAGCGGTGGCTTCGGGGGCCGTGCGGCTCCCGAGCCCTCCCTCGCCGGGGCCGGCGGTGCCGCTTGCCGTGTGTCATGCGGACACAAAAACCGCTTCCGTGGCCCGAGCGGCATCAATGACGGCGCTGCCTGCGGGCCGGAGGGCGGGGAGGGCCCGGGGAGGGCGTGCGGGCTCTGCCCTGCCCACTCGCGCCCAGCGTGGCCGCACCAGCGGCAGCGCTGCCGCCCCGGATCTCCACCCAGGGCCTTAGTCCAGCCTGGCCCTCGGCAAGGTGAGAGGTACGGAAGGGGACTTTGATAGGGCGGTAATGAGACACCCAGCTGCAATTCATGAAGGAAAATGATACGTCAAAATTAAAAGCTTCATGGAGGAGAGAAATGGATGCTCTCAAGTGTATGTGTGTGAATAATTATTAGTACCATTCTTAGTGTGGTGTGTTTTTTGTTATTTTGTTTTTTCCTGGAAGACTATTAAATACTGTTACCAGTAGACAACATAATGAGTCCAGGTGTATGGATTTATAACTAGCTGCTTCCACTCCTTTTGCCAACCTCCCTGTCCCCAGAAAGAACAGTGTTAATATTTGGAAACAGGGTTAAAACTCAGTAAAGATATTCTTGCAGACTCTCTGCACGCTATGATTCTGCGTAGTCTTGTGGCTTATACTCTCTTGGGGTTCTTTGAGTTAGGATTTTTTTTTTTCCCCCTCTGTAATCCTAAAGCAATCACTGTGGTCCTTTTCTTCCTGTTTTGATAAGCTGAGTGGTTACTTAAAACTGGGAAGGAGACTGAGGAGAAGACTGTGCAAGCATGGTCTTCTGAAGCTCTTACAAGACTTACTACCCTTTAATTTGTTGCTTTGTATGTTATGTAATTAAGTAGGATATTGAGATTAGAAATTGCAGTGATATTAAACAAAGAAAATATTTCATAACGATTGACAGCTTTTTATGTGACACTTTGAACCTAAATTGGATGATTGTCCTTGCTGAAGTTGGAAGATTCTTCTTCAAGCTGTGATCCTTGTCAAGAAGATTACACTTGTTTGTTTTTCCTCTCTCTTCGCAGTCAGGTAATCCTTAGTGCTCAGTAACTGGAGACTTCTTCCAGAGCTAGGAAGGATATCATAGATTGCTTCCAAATGCTCATTTAGTTTGTGCTATACAACCTGTTGTATATAAATTTTCTTTCTTACCATTTATATAGAGCTTATAGGATGGCTTCATGTAATACCTTTTTCCCTTTATTCGAGTGATGCAATTTTTTGGAAAATGTACAGATTTATAGAAGAAATTCTAATTCTCTCTTAGAAATTGCATTTTCTGGGAAGGCCTTGATCCAAGAGGGGGTTAAAAAACCCCAAATTTGGTACGTGTTTAGGAAAAAGAATATCAGATCTGAGGACTGGCAAGAGAAGACCATGGCCATGTTTTTCATGAGAATACCTGATCTTTGTTGTTCACTTGCAAGTCATGATGCTTCTCCTGAAGCACACCATCACAGGAAAAGGAGAGGTCTTATGTACTCTGTATTGGACAGATTCAGTATGTGAATTTTTGTCTGCTTGAATTTTTGAACTCTGTTTACAGTTCCTCTCTTAGCAAACATTTCCTCTATGTTCAAGCTTTTTTCCTTTAGACGGTTTTGTACTAACTTTTGTTACTAATACAGAGCACTTCCTGGCATGATTATTTTCAGTTTCTTTATACTTTCAGTACTTTTGAGGAAAAGGTGTAAAGCTGATCAGCATCTTGATGGTTTTCAGTCAGTTTGTGGCAGGTGAATATTTACTGTATAAACAGTCATATTGGTCAAAACTTGCCAGATGAAATATTGTTTATAGTAACAAATGAGTTCTTATTTTAAGTACAAACTGCATAAAAAATCCCTTAAACCTCCAACATCTCATGGCCCCACCCTGAAACACCAACTGGAAAAACCCACCATGTAGTGTTCTTTTGTTTGCTAGGACAGGTTTTCTAATTTGCCTACAGCATTTTTATTTTTCAAATAGTGTGTATAGTTGTATGCCTAGTTGTTCTGGGAACCTGTCTGTGTCTGGCATGCTAATTCTGCTATTTCAGTATTTATTTTTAGCTGTGTTAACATCTCATTTTTAAGAACCTGGAAAGCAGTTGGAGTTATCTGAAAGAGACCGGAATGCCAAATGTTATTCTCTAGATAGGGCACATAGTTTTGTGAAGTGAAGGTTAACAAATAATGTTGGTAATAATTTGCTCAAAATTAGCCCAGAATTAGTTGGCTTAGTTTTACTTCTCCAAAGTTGTTCCACTTGTAGACATTTTTTCAATCACTATTTTTCTTTAAAGTTTAAACTCTGATTGGCACCACATGTGGCATGAAAGCTTCTCATCTTTCTGTGCTTGTATGAACAAATAATAAAAGTGCAAACTTTTCTAAACTTTACTGTAAGTCCCTTATGCTCTGATTCCTAGGTAGTTTTGTCATAGTGGCCATAGCTACCTCATTTAGCAAACTCTGCTAGCAGAAAATGTAAAATGTCCATGCTTTCTTAAGGAAATTGAGTGCTCTCATTGACATTTCTAGTTACTTTTTGTAGACAGCCAAAGCAGCATTTTTGTTGCTCTTGCTTCATTTTTTTCTTTTTTTTCTTCTTCTCCTGGACTGTCTTTTGCTCACTTGTGTAATAAAGGTAGTTGATCGCAGGAGATGATTTTTGTGATGAGAAAACTGATGCTTATAACTGGGGGCTCTTGTGTTTGTTTCTTTTCTGATACATCAGCGAGTGGAGTAGAGGGGAGCAGCTGATGACTCACCATTGCAGATTGAATAGAATCCATAGTGCTGTAGAATGTGTGAAGGCTTGGATTCAGAGACCTGAACTAAGAATTTATCTGTTAAACTGCTGCATACATTCAAGCAGTAATGTTCAAAGTCATTCCAGGATGCAGCAGAACACAGGCTTCCAGCTGGCAAGTGAATTAGTTGTTTTCTATCTGGCTTTGTGTTTCATACATTCCTGTGTCTCTGAAGCACAGTAGATTCTCTGCCTGAAATTTTAACAATATCAAGCCATCCAGTGACACCTGTATGTCTGACTCTCAGTGTCTATATTGCACCATGCCTTCTACTGAATCACTAGTGGGTTTGGGGTTTTTATGCATTTTACTTGACTTGATGATAAAAGCTTTGAGTTTAATGGGCAGTGAGAGTTCAACTGCCTCATGTCCACATTTTCTCTTTACCCCAGACATCTCACTTCCCAGGGCTAGGCCTGTTTGTGTGAATCTTGGAGCTCTGCTCCAGTCCAGTGGCAGTAAGGATGCTTGGAAATAAGCATAATCCACAGCTAATTTACAGGTACACATTTCTGTGTGTACACATACCATTTTCTGCAATAACAGCCGTTCCCAATATATCTTCAAGAGCAGGTTTAGCTTGCTGCTTTCTTCTAGTGGACCTGTGGAATATGAAGAACTTGAAAAGGAAGTTTTAATACAGGAAATTTTCATGAGGCTATAAAATCTGCTTACTCAAATTTGTACTCAACACTATAAAAATTAGTTTTCCTTTTATTTTTTCTTTTCCAAAAAGCTGACAGCTTGTTTTCATTTTATAATTGAAACTGATAAAATACTGCTTCTTCATACTGTCCATATTATTAATCTCAAGTATTTTAAATTCCCTAGTGCTGCAGAAGTTAACTCAGAGGGTTTCTTTTTGTCCTCTTCTTGCAACTAATTCACCTTCTGCAGGCAATGAAAGCCTTGCAAATGTAGTCAAATTGTGTTTAGGTCAGCAGAGTTATGCTTCTAAAGTGTCAATTGTTTTGATGGGGCATTGACCTAGATAAAATTCTAATTACTTGTTTTGTAGCTACATTTTTTAAGAATTAAGTAGTACTTCTTTGTTGTGTCCTTCTGCTATAATACC